TATATATTTTCAAACTGAACCGAATAATAATAATAAATTAATGTGTGTATAAGTAAGTAGGCATTATTGTAGTTGGACTGAGACTTAGTTAATGCACGTGCTGTGCCCCAGATCTAGACCATTGACTGCTCCATTATTTTTAATTTGCACGTGACTTCCCCCTTGTACCCAACTCTGATCGGTTCTCCATTTGTATCTATTTTACTTTTTTTTTTTTTTTTAAATATGTATATATATATATATATAATTTATCTATTTAATTCAATTTAATTTTCTAGTCTGAATCAAGTTATGAACATTCAGAAATCTGTTCTTCGTATTACAGTGACTGTGCACAATTTAGAAAGAATCAAATTTAATAAGCTGATAATTGAAATTTAAAGAGAGCATACATGGGCATCCTATGCAGTGTTCAAATTTTGAAATATTTGAGCAGGCAACCTTATTTTATGATTATTATTTTCAAAATACTAAGAAAATGGGTGAAAATAGCCAAACAACCAAATCCAAATATATCAATTTGTACGACCACCTCAACTTTATATTTTAGTTTTGAGTTAATGTTATTATAGTTTATGGTATAAATTGGTACCTATTTAATGAACCAACCTAGCGAAAATTAATAATAATTTAAGACCATTATGAATTATGGTACGTTTAACAATAGGGTACTCTTGGAATTTACTCATCATTTTCTCTATGTTTGTATGTACTGTACTTTGTCACACGCTTGGCTTTTGGTCTCACAGCTGGACCTTCTTATCTCTTTTTTTTATAATAATAAAAAAAAAATTAAAGATTTAAATGTTCTGATATGTGTTAATTACATATGTGTAATGGTTAGGTATTTCTTATGTTATTTTAATTTTAATTTTAATTATAAAGTAAGAAACTTCTCAACCGAAATTGAATTGAATTAATTTGTTTGTTAAATGAATACTAAATTCTCATTTTAATTATTATAAAAATAAAAGTGTAAACAATATTATAACAAGAATATTAATTCAATTTGAATAACAATTTGTTTTATATAAAAAAATAAATTAAATTAAGTTTTATCAATTTTAAAACACTAGATAAAAAATAAAAAAAAAAAACTTAACAATTATAAAATATTATTTTTATCTAGAGCTTTAACTTAATTATAATTTTATATTAATTAAACTATTAATATAACTCAATCACACATTTATAATATTAAATTTAGGCATTATACATGGAATAGTAGAACTCAGTATAGATATTTCAAAAATCTCAGATACACATATAAATATAAGTAATATATATGTATGTGATTGTGATTGTGATTGTGATTGTGATGTGATGTGTGGGGAAAGGAAATTACTTAAGATTTAGTTAAGGTTTAGGTGGAGTAGCATGTGGAAACTGACAAGCCCAATATAATTTGCCAGCAAAGGAGTAGATTCATACAACACTTACAAGTAAGGAAATTATATAATGAACAAAAACCTTTCCTTTTTTTATATAAAAATATATATATATATATATATAATATCCAAATTCAACTATTTTTCAAAAAAAAAAATCCCATTTAAATGGGTGGTGTAATTACTTTAATCTATAATTACAAAATTAAATAAAAATATATGATTTGAAAATGTTGTATACTTATTTAAGTGTGGCGTGCCCACAATAATAGTACTGGACCAACAATTCACCATTTTTTGCCTCTTATGTGCAAAAAAAAATATCCTCTCCATATCTTCTTCTTAAGTGAATTGTGCCCCACCCCACCTACACTACACCCCACACCCACCACTTTCCCATATACATACATATATATATATATATGTAATTCCATATTTATTTTTAAAAATTAGGGTTAATTGTACACATATATCCATGTATTGGAAGAAAATTAGGGTTAATTATTATTGTTTGTCTTTGATAAGATTTTCTTTCATAATTTGAATCTTTGAAAACTTTGATTCAATTATTTAATTATAACAAGAATTTATAAATGTGATAATATTAAATAATTTATTTGATGAAGAAAACGAGAGACCAGGTTAGTTACCAAAGTGGTTATTCTTCATAGAGGTTATTAATGTAACACTCTTTCATTACCCACATATTTTAATGAAAGTTTGATAATTTAATTTTTCATTATTAAAAGATTTCATTTAATTTTTTATGATTATAATTAATAAAATATATTTGTAATGGCCCGGAATTCTAAAAAAAATAAATCATAAATTAAGTGCGAAAGCAAAATAATTAGTTAAAGTTTACATTCATTACACAATAACTTAAAGTACTAAATAATGCTATAGGAATTATTTTTTTGAAGAAAATACAAAAATTTAAGGAAATAAACGAAAAATAAATAAAACTGGTATCCTACTCGCAACCCTCTTGTAGAGCGGGCTCATCTGGATCCTGGTCCTCTTGATCTAAAATTGTTAAATAAAGAATGAACTACACTACCTCAGTAAGAATATCACGCTACTCACCGACACAGAAATGAAAGTTAATAGAAAAATAAAAAATAACTAACAGAGCTCTTAATTAAACAAATTCATTTATCATAAATAAAATCTTTTACCATCTACTTACCGTAGTGAAATTTACAAAATATCTTATAGAGACAATAACATAACACAGATCATGATTTCATATATGATCAATTCGAACAATAATTTTATCAGCATACTGGTATTCATAAGGCTTCATATGGATATCCCCACAACACATGAACCCTTTCCTTTAACTTTTCAAATTAACAGGTCGTCCCCGTACCCTATCCAGTATGAGCACAAAAATACTAAATCTCAATAACCCGTCCGGTATGAGCACCAAAATACTAAACCTCAATACTGTAACGGCCTCGGAAGTTTAAAATGAAATATATGTATTAAAAAGGTCAAATGCGGAAGCATAATAAAAATTTTGATTAACATCCCTTACACTAAAACCAAAAACGTACTCAAAGTATAAAAGAACAAACTAACTAAAAGAGAAACTCGAAAGTAAAAGCTATAAATATAACTACGGAGTCTTTAGGCGTCCCTTCGCCATCTTCCTGCGGAACGGGCTTGAGAACAATGTCTTCCTGATCTGAAATGATTAAATAAGGAATGAGCTACACCAGCCCAGTAAAGATATCACACTATCTCACCGTCACGGAGGTAAAGGTGGGTAGAAAACACAAAAAGACCAATGGAGCATAATTTACAACAAATTCTTTTATCAATAATAAAATCCTTTACTATCTATTTACCTCGGTGAAATTCATAAAACAATATACGAAAGCAATAACATTATCATCATCATGAAATCATATGAGCTGTATAACATAATATTTATCACGCCTTTTGTAATTCAATCATTACACAACATATTTTTCCTCATTTACCAGCCTACTAGTATCCATGGGGATCCTTAGGGGTCCCGCTACCCGTAAACCCTTAACACTTGTAATCAGATTCCAGGGTTGTCCCCATACCCCGTCCGGTATGGGCGCCAAAACTATAAACCTCAATACCCCGTCCGGTATGAGGGTGAAACGGGTCGTCCCCATACCCCGTCCGGTATGGGCACCAAAACACATAAGGTCTTCATACCCCGTCCGGTATGAGAGACCACAATCCCGGTAGGGTTCCCTACGGACCTGGTCCGTCCACCATCTCCCAGGATATCTAGTCAGGCTGACCACATTATACAATTATCAATTTACATAACTTTTCATTCCCCTTTTCCTCAGTCAGCATCATCAATTCACACACAAACAAGCAAACCAGTAATTTATGCCAAAGAAGACAACATACAACATCGGTTTCTCAGTCATTCAACCCATAATCAATAAAACAGTAATACATGCACACGAAACTATGAAATAAAAACATCAAATCTCATACTGCATTTAAAACCGTAAAATAGGCCAAACAACAGCTAACCGACAAACACACCAGACTCTCGCTCCATTAGCGATCTTAAACAATTTCACACATCTATTGATTCATGAAATACCATTTTATCATTTATTGAACTTTAATACCGTGATAGAAAATAGGGTGAGGGGTCCTTACTTATTTCGAGGTCTAAATACGGCTCTACAGTGCGCCTGCAGGCTGTCCCTAATTTTTCCTGAATTTTTTTTCGGGGAACTGAAACGCACTACTGGTACCTGCACGTGTCCCAAAAAATCCCAAATTAGACCCAGGGCCCCTTTCGGCCAATATTGCAATTCTGGCACGGCGGCTCCGCCGTGCTCCGGCGAAGGTGCCGCCGCTTGCGGCTGCGATTCGCCTCGGGTTGGCCGTTTTCGGCCATTTCCGGCTGAATTCGGCCACACTTGCATCGGTCCTTGCGATAAAATAACCCTAGGGCCCTCGGGGGGGCCAAAAAATTACGAAAAACCGAAGCTTACCGGTGGCGGTGCTCTCGGGTGCGGCGGCTCTCCGGTGAGGCTCGTGTTTTGGTGATTTGGCTCCGATCAACCTGTAGAAAAAAGAATAGTGATCACGGTGA